AGAAGAATAGCTATAATGTATGCTTGGCATATCTTTAATAAAATGTTTTGCATGCATCACTTCAGTGCTGTACATTAAATAAAACACATGAAGAAATAGAACTGATAAAAGAAGAAGAAGAAAAAAAAAACATGATTAGGACGGGATTGATTTTTTTAATTTTCCCCGTAAAACTTTGATGTGTTTGTTTACTCTTTTTTTAGAAATATTCTATTTTTAGTAATTTATCGCATATAAATGTGGATAGTGGCATAACCTTTTTTTATAAAATAAAGTATTTTGATTTGAGTTAAATGCAATATATATCGTACGAGTTAAATAAAAAATTCAAATTTGCAAAAAATTAAAATTTACTTTATTTTATAATCTCCAACCAACTTTTAACTCATATGTTTAAAAATAAATCGGCAGCATGCATTCAAAATATATGGTTAAATATGAAAAAAATGCTTAAAGAACTGCCAAGGTTAGAGGTTTTTAAAAATAAATTGTTATATTTGGTTAAAACAGAAATAACCAATGCTATAAAGATGCTTAGGTTTGAGGCCATGCAGGTTGTATGGAAAGAATGCATAAAATGGGTCAATAAAAACGAAAGTGCTTAGCATTTTTCGCTGTAAGAAATTTTTTATACTAACTCATTGTTGTTATCTTACTTCACTCCTGAGTCCATTGAACGTTTGTGCAGAGTCAACTTTGCTTCTTTTTTTAAAAAAAACTCTTAGTCTAAATGTTTACCAGATTGCAACCTTTTATTGTTTGATTTTATTAACCTGTCAATTCCATACTGATTATACGGTCAATGCACAGAATATATTAATAGTCGCTAAATGTTCGGTAAATTCCGTGAGATTTTAGCAGTAAGATATGATTAAATTCATCTGGTTTCTATGCATAAGTTACACTGACCGTTATAGCGCAATAGGGTAAACTACGGGTATATAATTTCTCAATGCCCTACGTGTTGTAAGATCGAGACAGCGTATGTCCAGGCATTTTTTTCTTAATCATAAGTATTTTCAAAATTTTTGAAGTTAATGTTTTTTTTTTCTGTTTTAATAGGTGTTTGCACTTTTTTGTTAACACTATAATTTATTATATAACATTGTTAAAGAATTAATAATATTCAAAATTCATTTGGGTTAAGATCAATAAATGTCATTTCTGTGCCGTAAAATACAATACAAAACGTGACAATTCAGTGTTTCTTAGTTGTTTCATATCTGTGTAGAAAATTCTGAAAGCGCTTGATCATTTTCATTATAATATACTTAAAAATAAAGTAAAAATAACTCTAAAATTAAGTGACGTCTAAAAAAATTGTCAAGAAGAAGGGATCGAACCTCGGACCTCTCATACATTAGGCAATCACTTAACCGACTTTGCTATTGCGGATGTTACGAGAACCTACATTAAGCTAGTGGGAGTTTTCCAAACATTAGTTATATACTCCATATTAATTCTCGTAAAATAAACGGACAAAACCGAAGTAGGATCGAATATTTAAATGAGTGCTATAATGTATTCATAATTGACAGGTCAATAAAATCAGACTATACTGGTTGTTTAGCTAATACTTTAAAAAGAAATTATATCACAAAGTCTTAAAAATTTTCAATTTTTAGTTTTTTTTTGTACGAGTAAAAGTATACATCTTTTATGTTTATAATATTCATTAACATAAATGTGACTTCAACCACACACAAATACCCGAAAACCCTATACTTAAAACCTCACAAGGGATATATAATCGATATATTTCGAAACGGTGATAAATGTTCAGGTTTTATGACGGTTCAGACATATCACTAATAACTAATCGAATTGCCCATAAGGACCGCTCTTATTACGTCGAACGTCCAACTAGACAACGATGCAGTCTTGATAAATTTAAATGTCGTTACGACACAAATAATGGTGAATTTCACTGACAGCCATATTATGCCTCAGACACGAATAAGCAAATATGTGTTTTATACTGTTTGAATAATGGTGTCTTAAAACATATTAGATGCCATAAAGAAAGTAGGTCTGAATGTGAAATATTTCTGTCATAAAAGTAGCAAGACGTTAACAAAGTAGTATTTTGACTTCAATATAAACTACTTAATTTTGGTATCTGTACTAATTGCCAAATAGTAACTGGTTTAAAAGATGATTCAGGTAATTGGATAATGAGTATATTTTTTGATAACTATAACACGACATCATAAATAAAATACATTTTTAAAGAAATAAAAATAACAACATTTCGCGGGCATAATGTACCTTAAAGGAGGAAACTGTTCTGGTATGGTTAAACATTTTATAAGACAGTGTAGGAAATAAACAAACATTTATTAGTCAAAGGCCAGTGCGTTTTATTTGATACAAACAAATTAAATATTCATATTTCTATTATCAACACGATCTAACAGTTTATAAATTGTACCATATTCCAAGTTATTTACAAGGGTGAACTGAAACGAACTTATTGATCTAAGTGATACAGAATTAATATACATACACCATGAATCTTTGTCTGTGGTTTTCTTATAAAAGCTGTTTTTAGTCTTTTTAAATGTTTTTCAACGACAAGTGTTCTGATGAATACCCATGAATAACATTCTTCTCTCGATTTAACCTTACACAATATATATTAGTTTAATCATTGTTTTCTTCAAATTGCACAACATGAATATATATGGATCAGAAAGAAAGAAAAGCGAGACTTATGTAGATTCCTTTCCACATCACAGACATGCACTTGATTTAGATTAAGTAGGGAAAACAGAATTCCTTAAGAAAGCCCAACACGGCAAAATTGAAAATGTTGCAGGCTCGGTTTGATGGACGATACTGGAAAGTGCAAATTACCATCCACGCCCCATAACACCGGCTTCAACACAAAAACATTTAAACACAAAAATGGTGAAATTTAGAAACATTACGCAGATGTGTTCATGTGGCGGTTATCATGGAACATTCAATATGACACAGTAGTGCTATTCCATGAAAAGTGGCGTATGGTCCCCAAGTACAAGAATGCGTGTGCCCTAAACGCCAAACAATAGGCGTACTGAAATGAAATGGAAATTTTAAATGAGATCAGATGATATGAAGCATATCACAGACAAGACGTCAAAAAGACAAATTTAAAAAAGCAGGCAACATACACTAAAGGCGATATATACAGTATACAGGAACCTTCCAAGTTAAAATGGCCAAATCTTAGAAACTAAAACTACCACATAGCATGTATTCACAACAAAAATGCCCGTGTTGAACGATCTTCAAGCAACGAAAAATATAACATCTTTGATTAAATGTACGGGGAGACTTTTAAACGTGAAAACCGTACATGTCATTTAACATGGAAAAGTTTGTATTAGTATTGCAGTAGTAAATGTAAGCTATCGTCCACATATCCCCCACTGCCAAATATTCCTTTTATCCCCCTTTCCCCTACCACTGTCTCTACCAACGACTGGAGTAAAATACATAACACTTCAACATAATGTAAATAGTATTAATTTGAATAAAAAAAACAACAACAAAAAAAAAACAACAACAAAAAATAAACATTATATGTTTTTAGCTGGTATCATTACACGGAGATGAGCCACATTATTTTTACTGTTTTCTTAAAACAGAATGTATCTAAAAGTAATTAATCATTGTACTTACATAAATGTACATTAACCAAATATTACATATTAATCTTATGTTTATTAATCAGTTTGTTAACAGATAATATTGGCAAGGTTCCCATTAGTTGATATTGTGTGAACAAAATTATGCTCTAAACCTGGTGTTTATGTAATTTTGTAGGTTCTATCTTAGTACAAACCTCTAACAATACCTATTCAATATTTTAAGTTAAATTGTGTATTTATAAGTGAGCACACGATGAAATGTAATGTGTTTTTGTAAATAATATCAGAAACAAAGTCATGCAGTCATTGTCTAAAATAAATGCATTTTTTAATTAAGAAAAATCATTGCAATGGAAAGGAACAATTATTAGTATGGAAAGTTGGAAACATGGTATGATCCATTGGTTTCGGAAGATTATACGACAGCGAAATATTCCTAAATATATGTTGTCAATGTACTACTCAAATAGCAAAAGATCCTTTCATGGTGATTGGTCATTTAATACAAAATTATAACGGTCCGTAACATAGCACGCTACTATTCTTAGTATTTGAGACAACTAATTCAGACTTACAACATCTGTGATAACCACAGGTAACTAGCGTGTGTAATCTAAGCCCATTCCCTTTAGTTCTTTTAGAAAATATCCACTTCCACGCACAAATCAAACCCTTTCATATACATAATATAATGACCTTTTTTAATTTGCTAAATAATGTATACTGTATGCTCTCTGTATTGAAGGGTAAGGTGATATAGAAACGTGATATTATGTCAATGTTCTCGTACTTACATAACCAGTCACAGTTTTTGAACTCAAATAAAAAGAGCTTTGATCAATGTACTTCAATATACAAGCATATGCATTTTCCATTATCTAAAATGGATATTTTTGATGGATAATGATTGTTTCAATATTTCAATATAAAACAATTAAAATGATAAATTGGTCATAAGTTTAATGCTTCATCGTAAAATGTCGAGCCAATTATATGTTTTTATAAAATTACTATCCTTGAATTTACAGCTACAGGTTTTATCTTAAAAATTAAGAAGACCTGTTTTAAACTTAAAAAAAGTTCAGCCAGTTGTTTGCTGTTAGAATAAATTCACGTTTGTCCATTTCCAACAATGAACGTCTTTATTCTCAAAATATTGTTTAACAATGCATAAAAATACCCATTTTATCATCATTTTTTATTACTCAGTACTCTTATATGTATGGTTGTGATCGATGATGTACACACATTTACAAAGATATAGAATAAATATAAAGGAAGCAATTGGATAAAAATGAATAATAATAATTATGAAAATGATAGATATGTAAGGAAATATATCGTAAAAGGTATAGAAAGTATAAATCTAGCAGATTGGGGTTTTACATAAAACCAAGTCTTGGATTGGTTCACATATATTCTGCTTTATTTACCAGTGGGTCCACTCAAAGACATATACAAATATTTATAGACAAGTCTGTATACCACTGTACAATACCATATAATACTGTACTGTCTGGATCTGAAACAATAGTTAAACAAAAAGTGTTAACCATTTGATATCAATGATATCAAATGTACAAGATATCAAAGAGATATCAAAGTCAAATATCATACAAATTAAAATATTTAGTTATTCAATATGCAAATAGCATTATACATTACTTAATTAACTGTAAGTTAATAACTGTATCCTTATCCTATGAATACAGAACAATACAAACATTATAACCATAAACTTTATAATACATTACATCAAAATAATAAGATTAAAGATTAAAATATCAAATAGTGATGATGTCTTGTGGTGTAGTGGTCTGTACCTTTAAATAAATGTTAATTAACAAGTCCAGAATAGGCTTAAATAATATTTTACAATATGATGTTTACAACAACAATACAACAGTTACATACCTTGTTTGTAAAACAAGTACCCTGACAAAACACTCCACTCCACTGTCAACTGTCACACTGTGAATAACTACTGTGCTGTAATGTTAAATTGGTCATATTCATGCAAGATGTTAATAAGAAGTAAAATCGCAGTTGTAGACCAGCAATTACAATGCTTTTTCGCGAGTGTCAAAACCGACAATTGAAACGCGAAGAAATACCAAAATACAACATCAACAACCGAACAATCCACAATGTCATACAACCAGTACAAAGTACAAACCTTATACCAACCTCAATCCTATATCCAACCTATTAAATCTATATCAAATCCTTACAAACTTAAATTAATCAACATCAACCTTTTACAACGACTTAACTGAAGTTAAACATTAAACACACCACCAAAAATGTTTTTTTTTGCAATTCATTTCACCAATCATTGTTTTTCATAAACCCCTTTTTTGGGGAAAAATGGCCCAAAGTTTA